AATATATCAGTTTTGGTTCGTTGGTTCGTGTTTACTTGTATTGATGTTCACAAGTCTTCAGCATCCCATGCCTGTTGTAAAAGGCGACTATGCTTGCTGTAAAAGGCGACTATGCTTGCTGTAAAAGGCGACTATGCTTGTCGCAAGAGGCAACTCATGGGATCGGGTGGTCAGGCTCGCTGACTTGGTTTGAAGCATGTCATTGTATCCCAATTGCGTGTACAGATGCTCATGATGTCAATCACTGGATTTTCTGGTCAAGGCTTGATTATTTACAGACCACCCTCATATAGCTGGAATATTGCCGAGTGTGGCGTAAAACAACAAACAAACAAATGATGTCCACAACTTCAATCAGTTCAGACGACATGACATGAAGTGACCAAGATATTGCTTATATAGCATTTTCAAATATACTGCACAGATTTACCAGACACGAAATCCTGCACCCAGAACACATAAAAGTTAAGCGTGCATCCACATGGATGCAGAAGATCTGAACTAATGTTTGAGAATGAATGTAGCTATTTAGTAATTTAGGAGCACTGAAAATTGATTTCTGTAATCATTAAAAAAAAGTACAATACACAGCTGAATGCTTCATGCATGACTTTCCAGTGCAAACACATGGGGGGTGGGGGGGGGGGAGAGACTCCATATCTATTGGTAAATAACAGCCTCTGGGCATGTTAGAGTGAAACAGTACATCGGTGCTTCGGTGCATCGTGAGTATTCATGCGATGATACACATTTTTTTTATGTATCGATACAAGACAATACAGTAATTGAACTACAACTCACTTAATCAGCCCCCAGCATTTTCGTCAGTCACATATTGCAAAATACGTTGTAATTAGCATTTCAAGTTCACCATTAAAAACAGCCTCTTTGAACATATGTCTACAGCTAGCTTTCCTTTTGAACCTGCTCTGAAATATTTATAGTCAAGAATTTTTGGTTTGTCCTAAATATACATATTGCGATATGTATCATGGCCAATGTATTGAGATACATATCGTATCATGACCTGGCTGTATCATTTCACCCCTATGGATATTTCTCTGGGACCCTCATTTGGTGGCTTGGGAGCCCCACCTTACACCTGGGACCCTCATTTGGTGGCTTGGGAGCCCCACATTACACCTGGGACCCTCATTTGGTGGCTTGGGAGCCCCACCTTACACCTGGGACCCTCATTTGGTGGCTTGGGAGCCCCACATTACACCTGGGACCCTCATTTGGTGGCTTGGGAGCCCCACCTTACACCTGGGACCCTCATTTGGTGGCTTGGGAACCCCACCTTACACCTGGGACCCCTACAAGTAGAGTCCGAGTTCCCTCGACCCCTAAATTAAATAACCCCAGTAAATCTTGACAGTGTTCTAGTTTAAAGTCATATTTAACTGCAGTGGAAATAAAAGTGAAATTTTCACTTAATCATATAATGAGACGACTTTCAAGTTTGGACAGCATATGTACAATGTAAACGCTACTTTCCTTCTTTATAAATATATGTATATTTGTAATGCGCCAAATCCCCACATGAAAGCATGCTCATGCAGGCAGGGAAACAACAAGTACCATCTATTAACATCATTTGGTTTGATGTGCCCCCGACACTCCACTCTCTGGGCAGAAGCTCTAACACTATACAACGGAGGCGGTATTAAACTGGATGTCCGTTTATACTCTTAACATCCAATTGAAACCCAAGTTAGGTTTCAAACTGCGACTTGAGGCAAGATAAAAACACCTACAGGGACAAACAATGATAGACAATTAGCTCTCCAGCACTTGTTGAAAGCATGGCGGGGGTGGGCAACGTTTTCAGAAGTCAAAACAATAAAGACCCAAGGAGGATATAGACGTATTTGTCATGACATAAATTCTTCAAATGTTTCCGTCGGATCCCTTCAGACCGGGAGAACACCTTAAGAGGTGAAGGTAAACTGGCAGGACATGCAAACAGAACTATTTTGGTGGGAAGTTTCCGCAATTACTAAAATTTAACTAAAAGCTGATGGCACACCACTTTCATTATTTGTTCTTTGCAAGATTGTTTCTATTTTTATTTATTTATTGGGGGTGGTTAGAGATTTCCTGATTAGTAGCATGTTACTATAGATCTACTTCATCACATTCCTTATCTAAAAAAGCTGGCAAAAAATAGAAACAGACAAATGAAAGTCTCTGCTAATTTGAGGCTCAGGAAAGGAAATTAACCTTAAATCTAAGATCAATAACATGTAACGATTAATCTCTCCATCACTTAATGATCTATTTCTGCCATTAGAAACATTCAAATCATTCTGTCTCTGGGACTACAAATTAACTACTTCATAAATGAAGTCACAAAAAATCCAAAGAACAAATAATCAATTTGTTGTGGCCAACAGTTTAACAAAATCTCTTTATGTTCGAGTCATTTATTATTCACCTTCAGGTGACGTAAGAGGTTAGGGACTTAGCATGCTAAAATTTCCAAGCCTTCCAAACTAAATTCAAATTTTACGAAACCTACTAAGCATGGAGGCCGGTGAGCAGAGCTGGGGCGGCCCGATGAAATCCATGTCTGATTTGATGGACGATTTGTAAGTTTTCTTTAATTGAGCAAGTAACCTAGCGATAGAGGGGTCATGCTGGCAACCGAGCTGGTGTCACGGAAACCAGTTGTTACCTAACATCTCAGTATTTAGACAGCTGCTTGCATTATGCTATCACATTTTCCATCAGCAATCACTCCAGCAGTGCAGTCGTCGATGCTGCACTCGGTGTCCTATCCGGGTGCAACGACAAGTCAATAACGTATTGGATCCCCGTTTCTTCAAATCAATGCTCCACGGCAGCAGTGACTGCCAGCAATGAAGTCAAGGCTTCGGACATGAAACGGGAATAACCAGCCAATATTCTCACTGCACAAAACTGACACGTAAATAGGTTTATTTTGTACCTTTTTTTCACAGAAAACAATTATTGTTTGGAAACAAGATCAAAACCAGTCTCTTTCAATGACGCATGTTAAGCCTAGTTTGCATATGGCTGTTTAAGTGGCAAACCTACTTTTCACTGGTTTATTTTCTAAACATTAAATGTACGGCATTGATTCTCTATACAAGACTATGAGAAGGCATTAATCTTAAAGCAATGCATATGACGGGGCCAATACTCTGAATAAACCAAGTGCAAGTAATATCAATTATTATATTTACTTGTGTGCGCTGGAAATTAATGCGATAAAACTAATGAGAACATAACATCATTTACATGACAATTCTGAAAAAAATAATGATAATGCAACAATATCTTGAATCTAACGCTAGTTTTGAAACTTATAAGCATTAGAGCTCCAGTTAAGATGCATATTTTATTAAAAAAAGTGTTTAAAAAACCACCATTACTCAATTAGTTTTGAGTTGCTTGTATACAAAGACTTATGAAAAACTTTAAGAAAAATATAGTATAAAAAACACTTTGCGTAATTACCCAATGTATCTGTTTCAACTTGCGTACCTATACTACCTGTATTTGTTTATGGATCTTTATTTACTGATCGAATGCAGGCACACCTACATGAACTCTACTGCGGTAAATAATGCAAAGAATGGCACTACATCTTGGTTATTGTTAACTAGACATGTATATCACTGTTGTGTGTTCATGTGACGTATGACACACTTTGGCAGCACACGAACAAATACAAATTAGAAGTCACCTGAAACAGCAGTATATGCAAAGTGAGTGAGTGAGTATATATACGCCGCTTTTAGCAATATTCCAGCAATATCATGGCGGGGACACCAGAAATGGGCTTCGCACATTGTACCCATGTCGGGAATTGAACCCGGGTCTTCGGCGTGACGAGCGAACGCTTTAACCAGTAGGCTACCAGACCGGCCCTAGTTTATGCAGAATAATAAAGAACCATGTTTACTAAGACACCCCAAAAACTACACCAAGGGAGTAAAAATATATTGAATACCCAATGGAAACTATTAATACCCAATGTGAATGATAACGTATGTAAATACTCAATGGATCAAAAGGTATCTGGAGCCCTTTAGTGTATTTCAATGCCACTTGAGAAGTTCACTTGAACATCCTCAGAGTGATAGTATCGCTGGTAGGTGTCGTGGTAGTGTCGTGAGCGTTAGCTTGCCCAGCAGATCGTCAGGGTTTGATTCCCAACAGGCAATATCTAGTAGGAATTTTTCCCCGTAAGAACTGTTGCCATTGGCTACTGCTATTCTCTGTTTGTCTTCATTATTCTATGGCTATTTGCACATGACGAAATTAACGAGCAGCTACTTGGAAAATCAAGGCTTATTTTCTGACTGCTTGTTTGTTAGACAATGCTACTACTTGCCTAGGAACTGTCTTCATGTGGCTTATCTCTTGCTGCTACTTGCCTAGCAACTGTCTGCATGTGGCTTATCTCTTGCTGCTACTTGCCTAGCAACTGTCTGCATGTGGCTTATCTCTTGCTGCTACTTGCCTAGCAACTGTCTGCATGTGGCTTATTTCTTGCTGCTACTTGCCTAGCAACTGTTTGCATGTGGCTTATCTCTTGCTGCTACTTGTCTAGCAACTGTCTGCATGTGGCTTATCTCTTGCTGCTACTTGTCTAGCAACTGTCTGCATGTGGCTTATCTCTTGCTGCTACTTGCCTAGCAACTGTTTGCATGTGGCTTATCTCTTGCTGCTACTTGTCTAGCAACTGTCTGCATGTGGCTTATCTCTTGCTGCTACTTGTCTAGCAACTGTTTGCATGTGGCTTATCTCTTGCTGCTACTTGCCTAGCAACTGTTTGCATGTGGCTTATCTTGCTACTACTTGCCTAGCAACTGTTTGCATGTGGCTTATCTTGCAACTACTTGCCTAGCAACTGTCTTCATATGGCTTATCTCTTGCTACTATTTGAAGAGAAACTGCAGCCATGCAAATGTCCCATTTTGTATAACTCTGTATGTGGCTCACCTAACAACTGCTTGAATGTGACTTACCTAACGACTGCTTGCAGATTTCCAGTAAAGCTGCCTCTTTCGCTTGCTTCTTGCTGCGGTCATTTTCTTTTTGCTGAAATAGATCACACTGACTTATTATCTCAATTACCCCACAAAGCTGGAGGATTTTATGTGACACTACTGCCTAACGAATCTAACTAGCATAATGAGACAAATCAGCTGCCTGTGGAAGAGAGCACAAGATGGTGGACAGGGGCAGCATAGCTACCAAAAACAAGGAACATTGAACTGCCAAAACCAGAACTGTGTCACAGTCACTGCACGTCTGACATTGCTCTTGAGTGTCTGACAATTTTGATATGGTGTCAATGTCTTGCTCTCAATTATTTTTATGTACATTAAATAATATAAAAAATGGATAGAGACTTTTCTTGATGTATCTGAAGATGAGTGATCTGCCAATATGGAAGATGAGTGATCTGCCAATATGGCAGATGTATGACATTTTAAGTGAGTGAGTCTTTTGGGCCTTTTTCAGCAATATTCCAGCCATATCACAACACAGGACAGAAAATCATATCACAAGTGACATAACCCCCTATATTTTTACATAAACATACTAATATTAACCTGGAATAAGATATACTGATCAGGAGCTAACTTGAATATCAGCCTGGAATATGATATACTGCCAAGGAGATAAATTCAATATCACACCGGAATAAGATATACTGACCAGGAGGTAACTTGAATATCAGCCTGGAATATGATATACTGCCAAGGAGATAACTTCAATATCAGCCCGGAATAAGATATACTGATCAGGAGCTACCAACTTGAATATCAGCCTGGAATAAGATATACTGCCAAGGAGCTAACTTAAATATCAGCCTGGAATATGATATATTGCCAAGGAGATAAATTCAATATCAGCCCGGAATATGATATATTGCCAAGGAGATAACTTCAATATCAGCCTGGAATACGAAATATTGCCAAGGAGCTAACTTGAATATCAGCCTGGAATATGATATACTGCCAAGGAGATAACTTCAATATCAGCCCGGAATAAGATATACTGATCAGGAGCTACCAACTTGAATATCAGCCTGGAATAAGATATACTGCCAAGGAGCTAACTTAAATATCAGCCTGGAATATGATATATTGCCAAGGAGCTAACTTCAATATCAGCCCAGAATATGATTTATTGCCAAGGAGATAAATTCAATATCAGCCTGGAATATGATATATTGCCAAGGCAATACCTAGAATGTCAGCCAGGAATATGATGTACAGACAAGGAGATAACCTGAATGTCAGCCAGGAATATGATATATTGCCAAGGAGATAACTTGGATATCAGCCTGGAATGTGATACACAACTCCTTACAACACCTATTGAGCCACATCAAGAATGTCCATCTATTTGTCCCTGTAAATAGAACATGTCTCCGACCTATCAGCAGGCCATGGAACAGTGAAGCCTAGCATTTACACACACTTAATAACTGTATGATCTATCAGCCATTGTTCAAGTCTGACAATCATCTTGCAGAGTTGAAAGTAGCCATGTATGGCTGTTCTATTGATTACGGCCATACATGCTATTCAAAGCCCAGAACTACCCAAAGACATGCTCAATCGATTCTTAGAATTTCTTGCAACTCTGATCAATCCCCTCATGAAAAGAGCATATTCCTTTTCCCACCTCGACCCACCACGTCCGTGTCCGTGAAGTGTAGGATAAAGCTATCTTGCTTATATCCCTTTGCGGCAACCAGCCCTTTGCCTCATTGAATATACACTCAAGTGTAGTACTTCATGTCAATGGCTTTTCAATAGGGTGTGTCACTACCGCCAATATCAAACGAAGCGTAATGAACTAGATTTCGTGTAGGCACTCGTATATTACCTCCCTTGGTGCTTGTGAATGACATGTTTGATATCAAGTTTAGTCATATACATATATAACATTACATCATGTTCACATCGAAGTCGTTAAATTGTTTTGTGAAAAAATATTGTAGGTTCAAGAATTACGATCTCCCCGAAACAGATTATTTACATGGGGTTGCCATGGCAACCTTCATGTCTTGACAGGTGGCTAATTATGGAGTACCCTACCAACCATATTGGAATCAACAAGCATGGCGTTGATTATACAGGGTTAGCAACAGAGTAGCAAATGTCGACCTGTAGCTCCGGGTGTGACAAACTGCCATGTGGTATTCTTTCCCATAACGTGTCCCCGAGAGAATTAGATAAATACTTCTTTGAAAATTATAATTTAGATATTAAAATAATTATTAAGTGCTTATGTAGTATTTGAAAGTATTAAATAGTACAAACATCTTGTAATTGAATCACCAGAAGATAAAAATGAATGTACTTGTTTTACCTTTGAACATGATCCCTTGTTGTTTATAACTGGGTTCTGTTTGCAATATCAGATGGGGAATCTAATTACGTTTGCATGGTGGAACCAGTTCCTTTACCAGTGCAACATTATGCGTACTTGAAACCAGTGTTCCAGAAAAACGGATAGGCCAGCTGATACTTTTCTGACGTTAGACACTTCTTGTGTGTGTCTGAGTCTTCATCTTGTACCATAGCAGTTTACTTGTAGGTCTTTATAGAAGTGGCCGAACCTGAGGTCGCTAGCAGGACTCTGAACATTTTAGAACTCCTAACCCCTGAAAAGCCCTTTCCTGCAATCTTGACTTCATTTGCCTCAATCAGTGGTGATTTATGAGCATATAAAGACGTTGTTGTACACATTACAAATTGGCAGTCAGTTGTTATTCTACCCAGATTATCAACATATATCTTTCTTGCAAATTACAAGATTCATGAGCAGTGTCCAATTAAAAAAATTAAACAAACATGGAGAAGGGTTGAAATTTTGACTAGCCAGATGGGCCATCTACTTTACATTTCAGCAAGCCCTTTGTAATTTTAACTGGCAACGGGCTAACGGGCCAGCAGTTAAATCGACCCCTGTTGACCATCCAATCATCTTAATTGTCTCTTTGACAAGCATGGGATACTGGGTATCTCTTCCGTCTGTAATCCCCACAGAATGGGATACACCCATTTATCATGCCATGGCCAGTGTTACCGATAAGATAAACCAATCTGATAAACTTGGAATGACTATCCAATAAATACTACCAGGAACTACTTTCAAGATCTATACATCAATGCATTGCCGTCTTTCTCAATTAACTATTGACTAACGTTCCAACATGCTTGGATACTGATTTCCCAATGTGTCACTGTGTTTCTGTAGAAAAACAGGGCTGCAAGAAATTTGGAACTATATAATACATTGGGCAAGTCACTCAAACATTGTATTCATATGCTGTTTCTAAAGCTATTTTAGGCCCAACCGGTTGCTTTTTAGTCAGGGCGGGGGTGGGAACGAAAAAAATAAATGTCTAGCTTTATTGAGTGAAATTACATCTTAAACATCCATTATTTGAAGAATGACATTTTATTATAACATGAAAATTTCCAAGATGTGTGTTTTTGTGTGTATTGTATGCATTTTAATTATATTAATGCCAAACTGTTTCCATTGATGTTACTCTTCTCTCATAACCTCCGGGTGGTTTCTGTACATTTAGCTATTTAATGGATTATTAACCTTAACCAAGAAGAATATAATATGCATGTTATGACTGTACAGAAAGTTAGACTTAGATAAACAACTTCTCTCTTTCTGTGTTTCCATATCGCATGAGGAGTAACAAAATATGTAATATGTTCACCACAGAACACTAAATTATTGACATTTGTTGGGACAGGGACCCCTGAATTTCATGCTTGACGTCAAAACACCTGATGAAATGTTGTACAAATATACAGGTAGCAATCAGCTTAAGATGCTGCTGCTGCTGCTGATGTAAGGGCAGTGCCCAGGTTGTCGTTCAGTGGCAGTTCTCGCAGCAACTTGGGCTTTCAGCAATAACATCTAGGGAGCTGCTCAGTCGTGACAAATCGTTTATCTAGCCCCCATGAAAAACTCTACCAACCACATTGATCAGTGAAGGAGAAATTCATGTTCTTCCCTCTAATTCATATTCTGGAATAGTGTCATTAATTATTACTGACAATGAGGGTGACGGGCACGATGGTGGCACACAGTACCAGTAAGTGGCTGAACTAACCGACTGGGATGGGCGTCAGGACGGGAAACATGAAGTGGTACAATGTAATGTAGTGTGTGTTAGTGTGTGTTAGTGTGTGTGTATGATTTTGTGCAGCACACAATACACAAGAATGTTACGCTGCTTTTTGCAATATTCCAGCATTATCATGGCTGGGAACACAAGAAATGGGCTTCACTCATTGTCCTATGTGGGGAATGAACACAGACCTTTGGCGTGACTAGCAAATGCTTTAACCACTAGGCTACCCAACTGCCACTAATAAAGTTGAGTGTAAGGGATATAAGTCCTGGCTTCAGACAAGGCTCACTGACTTGCTTGATGCATGTCATCGTATCCCAAATGCATGGATAGATTCTCACTGGAGTGTCTGGTCCAGATTCAATTATTTACAGACTGCCGTCATAAAGCTGGAATATTGCTGAGTGGGGCATTAAACAACAAAACAAAACATCAAGGCTTGTTGAAAGTTTCATAATACATGTTTTTCATAATTTTTTGAAATATCATTTGAAGTCTGGTTATTAATTTGATATTAACTATTTGAAAATTACACCGAAAGAATGCTTTTGAATGAAGATCTGTCTCTGTTCCTATTCATGATCAATCATCAATCGATGAACATTTTTAGATACCATTAATCAACATTGAAGTCCCAACACAATACTTTCTACATCCTGCCTCATCCATGCTGCACTAATTATGTAAATAAGCAACGAAGTGAAGAAAATGTCACAAACCATGCTTCGTACACATGGATATAGATATAAATATTGTATCAATCCATGGAGTGACGTCTCATGTTGACAGTTGGACTGCATGACCTCACCCGCTGCAAGGGCAACAGAACACTTATTTCAGCGCCATGTGACCACCACAGCCTACAGAAGATTGTTTCAGATTCCATTATCTCGTTTCATATTTCTCAATTTTATTGAAA